ATAAAAATAGCAAACTCCCCACCAAATTGACTACAGAATAGGGAGGGAAGTAGGAAAATCAAAACGTGTTAGTAGAAAAGGTATCATGCACCACAAACCATGTAAGGATGAAAATCATGTCTCTGAACACAATAAAAAACCTGCAGATTAGCAAAGTAAACTGCAGCCCAACTTCCATCATGGATTTTTTCAGGATTCATTACATAAATTAGTTGACAAAGGATACCAGCACCTAAAGTGGAACTAACAGGAATCACCAAGTACATTGTTAGAAATAAACTGATCTTGAGCAGAGATGCTCAGCAAATAAAAGAAGCAATTCAGTGAGAAATAATGAAAAAGGTGCTCGCGTTGGCTCACAAGCAGCTCTCCTGTTACAGAGAAGGAAACAAACCACACGGTTAGTAACTTAAAACTTTAACACCATATTATTAATGACAATCTTTTCATTAAAAACAAAACGATAGTCTCACAGGCAAAAACAATGTGCAGATGTGCAGAAGGACTTCAAACAATTGGTAATAATTAAGAGTTAGATTCCTACTGTAGCGTAAATCCACTGAGCAAGAAATCCAATCCATGAAGTTACAGTTAATGTCTTAAACGTGTACTAAAAACGTTTTTAGAAGAGCAAGGAACATTTCCTACGTGCAGCTAGCAGTGTAGAATAAGTTCTAAGCACATGACAAAAATTCCACTGACAAAGATGCCAAAACAAATATTTTATTTTAGTTTTTACAGTACAAGACAACGCTATTTGAATTGGCAACACATTTTAATGTATAAACACTGGGGAACATTTAGTAAGCATCAGAAAAATGATCTTAAATTGGAAGATAAATCCAAAGGACGTCCAAATCTTTATATCACTGAAGTCAACAGGAATACTCCCCTTGATTTCAGTGGGACTGGAGTCTGTGTTGTGATTTAATAGGAACTTACTGGTCATGGCAAAATTAATGTTTTACACATGTTTGCCAAATAAACTTCCTGTTAATCAGCCTGCATTACTTGCAGTATTTGCCTTCTATTAACACATGGATCAGTTGTGCCATTCTCACACTGACCATGATTAGCTTCTTAAGGTTCAAAAGAACTATTGGTAAAGTAAAAGTCTACCTAAAACCAGTAAGAATCATAGACTGGACCCCTGATTCATATCCAAGCAGCTGTACTGTAGTACAGATGTATCTTTTCAGTAAGATCCCAGCAGTTTAATCATATAGCGTAATGAGGATAACAGGATTTGTGTGGCTGTATTTCCCTTCTCTACTTCTAAAAATCTTATGCTTACTATGAAACCCAGTCAGTACCCTAGGTCTCACTCATTTCATATCAACCTATAAGTTTTCTTTAATCCTGTGGTGATGGCTTTGTGAATAAAACCTTCTATTGGTTTTAGTAAATTCATTCAGTGCAGCAAAACCCGAAGAATAAAGAAAACAATAACAGCATTCCTTTCAATATTTTATTTCCACATCATCTCAGTGCAAATAGTATCATTCAATTATTTTTTTGTTAAAACAGCAGGTGTGGTTTGATCCAAGATTGTACTGCAATGTCACAGAATGTGAAAATTTGGTTCGTTCTTCGTAGATAGGAGATACTTGTTGAATCTTTTCTGCATAAAACATTTAGGTTTTGTTACTTCTGTACACCCACTATTTGCTTATGCTTTCTCCTTGTTGTACTTAATAGTATTGTAGCAAGTTCCCTAAAACGGAATAAACAACAGTGAGATATTAAACAGAATAACATACTGTACAGAAAACTTTAAAACCTGACAGGAATACAAACACCATATCACCTTAGTATAAAGTGAGCCTAAAAGACACAGCATGTAGCAAATAATTTACGCACCCCACAGAGATTAGCCAGTTTCCATTACCAGTTGTAGGAAATGTCTTTTTCAACAGACTTTCCATACAACCATACATGGTCAGGAATTCCTACAGGGTTTAAGGATAATTTTGAACATTTCAACTATCTAAACCTAACTTTCATTTAGGGTAATTTTCTCAAAAACATTTCTTAAAGGAGCATACAATTGCATACGAAAAAGCTTCCAAAACTCAGTATTTTAGCTCACTACAAGTTTCAATACTGTGATTCGGTTGTGCATATTTCTCTTTTACTCAGTTATCAAGAAAGCAGTAGTGAGAGGGAAGGTAGCACTTTCCTCTAAATTGTACAATACTCACCAGTTTAAAGAGCAGGACAGTAAGGAGGAGACTAGTTACCTAATTTTCTAAAATGCTCTATAGATAGCATTATTCTACTTCAAGTGCTGCATTCCACAACAAACAATAACAGAGCCTGAGATTTTTAGGTTAGAGAAAATGACGGAATTTCAAACGTCCTAAAGTCAGAAAAAGAGCTTATGTATTTTACACGAGTAACTGTCTTCAGTGCATCCACCTGCAAAGGGTGGAGGAGTTTGATGGGGCGAAAGTGAGAAAAATTAATAGACCTTCTATAACAAATTAACAATCTTCCCAGCATTATTTGGCAAAAGGAACTTGCCACTCTCCCAGGAAGCTAACTGAAAAGGAAGGGGCTTGGTCTGCTCATTTCTGCATGTCACAAATGAACTTGCACAAAACCTGCCTCACTATTGCCAACGGTCACATCATCACCAAGAATTTTGATTCCTTTGTTTCAGGGAAATCTTGCAAAGAACAACCAGCATTGAAGGAATTCTGCATCTACCAAAGGAAGTTTCCTGCCTTCAATCCCTCAAGCCCCCAGACAGTAAAAGTGATGCATTTGCTTGCAATTCCAATGTGCAAGTGCTATAGCACTATCAAAACCAATGTCAGAGTTTGGCTGAGAGCAAAGCCACTGATGGCAACATTGAAAAAAAGATCCAGCTTGAGCTTTCTGGAATAGGAGAGTTATTGGAGCCTGAAAAACAGGACCCTTGAGATGTCCTGTTGAAGGGAATGGAGTGCAGAGAGAGGACTAGAAGGGCTTTGGTAGTACAGGGGATGCACAGAGTAAAGCAGGGTTTACAAGCTTTGCAAACACTGACCATCTCTGTGAGGCTACATTTTCAACCTGTTGCTATTCTTTCACACATGCATTCAGCAATGCTGAATTGAGCAATGTTAAAAAAAAACAAAGTTTGACCAAAAAAACCTGCAAGTCTTACTTAGATATAAACATAAAACTCTGACTTTTAGACAAGAGTAGTGGTTGTTTGACTCTTGGTGTTAATACTACCACTGTTTGAAAGTTTTTGAAAAGCAAAGGGAGAAGCAGCAAATACAGTCACTGCCACACAGTAGGACTCAATGCTTTGGAAGAACCAGTGCCATTTGCATGAAGTTATGATACATTTTGCAGAAACACATTTGATATTTTGCCTCTCCTTGGTATGAAACTCGGTTCTCATTTTCAGGAGCCAAAACATACATTTCTTCTGCTAGAAGAAGTTAAGACTATAATTCTTTCTGAGTCTGCAATATGTCGTTTCCTTTCTTACTCCCTGTCACAGTGGAAAAGTCAAATAATATATGTGGAAGGAGAGGAAGAAAGTTCAAGTAGCGGTCAGTAATAATACAGTATGAATGGAAGACTCATTCGTGGGGTAACAAAGCACAAAAGGCAAGAAGCTTGAGACAGAAAAGAGTGAAAAATATCTTGTGAATAAAGCATGAATGACAGAAAAAAATCAGTCCTCCACAGTGATTGACAGCACTACAGCTGAGCAGAAGCCCCACTGAGGACAAGAGCAATAAAAATCAAATCAGCAAAATGTCACTTCTTTTCAAAAAAGAGTTAAAAAATCCAAGGATGTGAGGCAGTGTTCAGCTCCAAAATTCAGCAACTTACTAGTCCACACTTCTGACATTGATATTATTGCACTGTGCTGGTGATATCATCATTGCACTTAGACCTC